GTGTGGGTGCCTGTGTGCCTCTTGAATCTGTTTCCAGATATTGATGGGTTATTTATCTTAGCATTAAAACAAATACAATAATAAAATAAAAGGTCTTCTGGTTCTTCTGGAAATGTCTGAAAATGCTTTCTTTAAACAATAAGAAGCAATGAAGAGCTTTTAATGTCTTATGCTTTCATTCTTTTAACTTCTTTAAACTCAGAGAGACAGAAAACAATGAAATCTCCATTCTCAAAACATATGTTACTGAAGAAAATGGTCCATTTAATCCAAAAAGGATCTTAATGGATTAAAAACACATCAATTCCAAATGACCATTTCAGATGAAAGAAGTTCCGATTCAGTTTAGGAGCGTATTTTGAAATGATGAACTGTTGCAATCTGAAGACATAACTTCATAACAGAAATCTCTCCTTTCTTGACTCTTGCCGGCAAGCAGTGATTGTGTCTTACAGACAAGATGAGGCTTTATAGAAACTGCAAAAGCTAAACAGGTGGTAGCAGGTGGGCGGGCGGCACTCTGCTTCCATCCCAGTACCTTCCCACCCTGGGAACTACAGGGGGAAAAAAAACCAAAACATTAAAATCCGAACATTACAGCCTTCATCTGTTGAGAAGTCTTCCAAAGCCATTCTGTCCAGCCCTAACAACTTGCCATCTGGAGTAGTGTCTGGCTGGCCCCACAAGACTCTGGGCAGTTAAGCAAAAGATCCTTTCAATGGATAATCTGTTGCAACTCAGGAAAAAAAAAAAATCTCTGTGCATTGTAGTATTTGTGCATTAAAACATGTGAAAATTCTGGTTAGATAGTATTAAGGGTAGAAGAAATAACTGTTCTAATGAAACAGAGAAGAATTAGCTTAATGGTATATAGCCGAGAATACTACTGTTTTGCACTATACAGTACCAAAATAAGTAGACTCAAATGATTAGAAATCCTTCAGGACTCACAATTTTAATATTGTAAAGTACACACCATTGCAGAGAGACTAAGTACCTTGAGAAAAATGGGGATTATGTATTCGCATGTCAGCAAACCCAATGTCATTAAAATAATTTAAAATATATTTAAACAGTTAAAATGCAGCTATGGATTTATCTAATAAAGATTGTAAAAATATATTTTTTTCATAAAAATGTTACATAAAAACATGTAAGTATACAAATAGTCTGAAAACTGCCCTTTTTAATACACTGTATTAAAGTATATACGTGTATTTTATGTGAATTTAAAAAAAAAAAGTGTCTTTTTAGTAATATCCCTAAATAGGTAAAGAGAATAAAACAGGACGTGAAAAAAAGAAATCTGCTTGCTGGCAGTAAGGGATCATTTCTGCTACCAATTGTAATGATAGAGAAGCCACCATACACACACCCACATCCCATTATCAAAACATCTTTGTTTTACTGTACTTGTATTATTAAAACCATTATCTACATAAACTTACAAGGAAATATCATACAATCATTTTATGATATACACAAAAGGTAAAAAAAAAACCTGCAACACAATGATTTATTATCTGTATTGATTTCAAACTTAATTAAATTGCTACCAGCATTCATAAATTAGTAACTTTTTTCATTAGAGTCTGAATACTGTAAATGTATTTAGAACTATAGCTCAATTGTTTGCATTATGACTCCAAAACTTGGTGTACTTGTAAACAGCTGATTAATCCCTAGCAGAAGCAATGACAATGAAATGAGGTTGAATAATCCAAAAACAATAGGATGCAATTGAACACTAATGGACCCCAGCACGACAGATGTTGAACGTAGGCTGTTACGCCCAGTTGCTCTGCTCTTAATATTCTGAACCCTAATGGTCTTGAACAGACATGATAGTTGGGGTAGGGAGTCTCCATTATTCCATTATCAAAATGTATGCCACATCTTCAATTTTTAAAGAAGTACAACTGAGTCACATTTCATTATAAATGTTCAAAATTCCTATCTGTGTGCATTGACCTATTCTCCCAAACATAAAGAACTACTACCACACATTAAAATGCTACTTTCTGAATGACAACTTCTGATTATTTGTGTGTGTGAGAGAGTTGAGAACAGCACCTTTCAGAAAAACCACATAACCATATGTCTTTCACAGAAGGATCAGCAGTTAGAATTTGTCAGATATTTCTTTTTCTGAAGATGCTTCATGGGAAGTATTGCATGTGCAGTAGAAAAAAAAATACACCTCTGATCTCCATGCTATTGCTAGAGCATATTTTAGTGCTACAGCCTTCTATGCCCAAATAATTTGTTAGTTAAATCCTTTGTCTCTTAAAACAAATCTCAAGGAATTTTTAATGTAAAAGAACACAATAAAATTAAGGTGTTTTGTAAGTTAATAAATATTGTGCGTTCTCATGAGATAGCTATTACTCAATTCAGATAATTAATCACTCTTAGTGTTAAGAGTGCTGTTAACTTCATACCAGAAATATGAAAAGCACTCCTTTAAAATATCATATGGTATAATACCGTATTTTTTCATTTGTCAGCAGTTTTCCTACTTTTAACTTAGTATGTCCTGCCAATATGAATTACAATGAAGACTTCAAATATAATGAAAATCACAGTTTTTAAAAACTTGGTATTTTACTCCACTAAGGCATAGTAACATAGTACATGACAAGTGCTGTTAATTTTCCCCTTCCTAATTGATTCACCACCATTATCATGCTTTGACTAACACACTGATATAATCTCAAGAGAGAAGCTGTGATTTATCTCTCTTACTGAACAAATTGTAACTTTACCTTAAATGATTTATTATCAAATCACTGGACAAGGGCCCAAATCCATCTGGATTAATAACGAACCCCTAACAGGATTTTATAGCTTATAGGCAAGGCTAAAAATTGTTCCGTGGCAGATCAAAATGCCTGCTTTTCATCACTTACAATTATTTTAAGTTTCTGCTTTATGAAAGAGAAATAAGAAAAGTAAGTATTAACGTCTTATCCACACCAATTAATTTAGTTCATCTGCATAGCCCACCAGCCATGTGAAAATACGTTATCTCAAGCTAGAAAATAAACTGCTTTATTGCTCAGTCAATAATAGAAAGGGTATCAGTGAAATTTTCCCAGGTTTCTTTCACCTGGTTTGACTTCCTCTGTATTTCAGCTTGTCTCAGTTATTGCTTATGTAATTCTATTCCCTCCTCCATTTATTTTTAATCATTTCTCAGAGATCTTATTCTTTGAAATAATTTTTCAAATGATTCTCAAGATTTTTATGACACAAGTTTTCAAAAAGCTACTAATATATTCTGATGTGATATACTGCTGTGATGCTAAAAACTTTTCTAGATACCAACTTACGTTAGTCTCACTTTATTGTATATCAATCGTTTCTCAAGAATTTGCCTTTTACTTATTTTATTGTCATAACATAATCTCGAGCCCGAAGAACATTAGAATCACCAGAAAGAAGTTCTGTATCTACCCAAATACTCAGATTTCAATCTTTGAATCTCTAACTATGCAGGTACAAATTTAGTCCTACTCCATGACCCCAGCAGCGTTATTCTTGATTCACATTTCAATTCTAAAACAGTGTCCTTAATCAAAATATTATGTTTTTCCCAGAGAAAAACAAGAGAGACAAGTAAGAATGCTATTTCAGTCATAAACCAAATTATTTTAGCATCTTTAAGTCACCAGTGATATTAGGAAAACAAGGGGTTGTTTCAGTCCGTTAAAGAAATTAACTAATTTCAGGATTTACGACTACATACAGAAATACATTAAAAATTGTCTGCTAGATATCCAAGTTAAGAACTCAGATGCGATTATCACAGCGCCCACTAAGAAGAGCTGGATATCTTCCACCTGTACTACTATGGAAAACACAGTCTAATTACTTTTGTTGTGGACTGACTGTGGCCAAACACTAATTTTAAAAGGAAGTGAAAGTAACATTTCTCTAAATTAAAGTCTAACTCCTCAATACCTTCTCTTCTCTAGTTGTTCTAAAAATAACATATACAAGCAATATATCAAAGCAAGAATCTTACCTCTTCCTTCTAGCCAGAACACTCTATTTCGTCTCAGGTAGGTCGTTTCTAAAAGCCTCATCAAGACTTCTTACCACTAGTTTATACTGAGCAAAGCTGAAAGACTGGCATGCCGTATGGTGCCTAATTAAGAGCAGGTGGGTAACTACCAAAATATGACCATCCTTAAGGGCCCAATTTCCAGTAATACTTGACTCACAAGACAGGCTAGAAATCCATGGTGTGCAGAATAATGTAGTTTCCTTCCTTGGTTAATTACATTGTTTTCTCTATCATGGCTATAGGACAATCAGAAAACAGAATAATTCACAAGTGGATGTTGTATCCTGAACTGAAGGGGAATTTAGACGCTGACTCATACTGGGAAGTTGAATAGCAATCTACAGCAGTAAGATGAATTTACAGTCATTCCATCTAGGACTCCCCAACCTCATACTGGACACCCTTTTCTACAGAGTGCTTAGAACATTTCATTTTCCTCTAAAGTCTCTCTGGGGTGAGCTTTTCTTTCTAATAGTTCAACAAGTAAGTCTCCCAGCCACACTTAAGGCTCTACTTGCCATACTACCCTGCAGCTATCCCTTCTTCTCAATTTACCCATTTCTCCTTGCCAGTCATCCTTTTCTGTTCCACGTTATCTTTCTTAAGTAGCTTTCCCTCAAATGAGGCTCAAAAAGCATTGCTTCCCCCAGTGATCCTGCACAGAACATCCTTTCAAAGTAACTTTGTTTTAAAGCACGCTTCTACAACAGGAGGTCTAAAATCTCCTAAAAAAAACAAAAATGAGAAAGGGTTCATTTTATCATGGTACTAGAGGAACATGTTTTGAACTTTTAACTGTCTAAAATGTTTCTCACCTATATTATCATAGAATCATAGAATCATTAAGGTTGGAAGAGACC